TGTGGATTTACTAAAGATTAACTAACTGCAAGATAATTCAGCTGATCAAGACTGTGCTTCAGGTTGGTATAGGTTCTATGTAATCTATTGTTTAATTGTAATATTTAAAGGCTTACAACAAACCCAAAGGAGTTACTGATCACCTTTGCTAAATAGGATTTTTTCAACTTGAGTATAAACTGCTCCTCCATCTCGTTTAGTGAAAAATGCCTGTCCCTTCTCATGAAGAGATTTAGTTATGAAGTTACCTTGGGTTTATATATAGACTGAAATAACATTTGGATCATGTTGCATTGGAAGTGAGTTCCAAGGCTTTTAAATTCTGCTTTTATATACAGTATTCTATGTTAGTTTACAATAGAAATACTATCATTTTGTGTGTTGGGGAAATGGGAGCAGCTGCTCAGGGCAAAGGAGAACTGTAGTGGGGATAAGGAAAGCTGCATAATCTGGATCTGTCTTGTCCCCTCCTTAGATTCACCCAGATGCCGCGAATGCATCAGGCAAATTTTTCTAACGCTCTCTTCTTCTGGGATGACCCCGTTGAAATCAGTCAGGGGATCTGTTCAGATTTATTTGGCTGCAAAATCAAACACTTAGGCAGCCCAAGTTAATCTTCTTTGCTCCCTTGTATACTCAGCTTATGTTAATACAAAGAGAACAGCAGAGGTGGTTTTACTGCTCCTGGAGCAAACTATGTATCAAACTTCCCACCCTAAGCAGTACATAGTTTTCTGGTTAAGGTAGTGTATGTGTACATCATGGTCTCTCTGAGAGGGTTGGGGGGCGGAGGGGAGAAGGGGAGGAAAGAAGGAGGAGAAAATGGACAGGAAGAACAAAATAACAAGGAAAAAAAGTGTGACAGAAAGTAGAAGGCCAAAAAAATTACACAGGAAAAGAGAGACAAAATAGATACAAAGGCTAATAAAAGCCAGGAGTAAGAGACAGAAAATAGAAAAATGCAGAGAAGGTGATAACTGCAGGGGGATGTCTTGGTGATAGTGGTGGGGAGATGGGGTTAAGAGTGTGCCCGTCAGTCTGTCTCAATGGGTCTGTGAGCAAGTCCAGTTCCAAAATCCTTGTCATAATCAACAAGAGCTCCTTTTACTACAGTTGTAAAAATGTTTTTTGGGGAAAAGGCTTGGTTATTTATTCTACAAGGCCAACAAAAAATGAAGCTCCATCGAAGCTCTATTGGACATTGGTGAGGCCTCATCTGGAGTACTGTGTCCAGTTTTGGGCCCCACACTTCAAGAAGGATGTGGATAAATTGGAGAGAGTCCAGCGAAGGGCAACAAAAATGATTAGGGGTCTGGAACACATGAGTTATGAGGAGAGGCTGAGGGAGCTGGGATTGTTTAGCCTGCAGAAGAGAAGAATGAGGGGGGATTTGATAGCTGCTTTCAACTACCTGAAAGGGGGTTCCAAAGAGGATGGCTCTAGACTGTTCTCAATGGTAGCAGATGACAGAACGAGGAGTAATGGTCTCAAGTTGCAGTGGGGGAGGTTTAGATTGGATATTAGGAAAAACTTTTTCACTAAGAGGGTGGTGAAACACTGGAATGCGTTACCTAGGGAGGTGGTAGAATCTCCTTCCTTAGAGGTTTTTAAGGTCAGGCTTGACAAAGCCCTGGCTGGGATGATTTAACTGGGAATTGGTCCTGCTTCGAGCAGGGGGTTGGTAGCTCCAGTATGTTAGTGACTAAAGAGTATTGTTTTTGTAAATTTCTTCATAAGCACAAGTTAGCAAGCTTATTTGGAAATTCAGATGCAATGCAAATTTTAATCAAATGCATAAATTATGTGGAATGGTTTAATAATTTGGAAATGTGGGTGAATGTTATTGGTCAGAAACATTGTTTTGCTCAAAAATGGCACGTATGACAGTCAAACATTCCCAGGAAAGTTTTCAGATCCTACTCCTTGCAGGCTAACACTGTATACCTCTCTGAAAGTGGAAATATTATTGCTGTGAAGACAAAATACACTGTGTCTTGAACCCCACTTTAGGAATTTAGAGGGGGCAACCCAAGATAGCAGTAGTGTATTGTAAACAAGTTTAAATGAGTGTTTAACTGTACTATAATATCCTACTGGCTTCCTTTATAATGTGATCACTAACAATGACAGTGCATAGTATGCAATTAACTAATTCCTCATATTTTCACCTTTGAAAATTTTCGACTGCATTAATACAATTGAGTTAACTTAATCTGACTGAAAAGCCCCATAAACACACAGGCTAACATGTTGGAAGCAGACAGATAAGGTGGGTGAGGTAATATCTTTTATTTGACCTACTTTTGTTGGTCAAATAAAAGATAAGAACATAAGAATGGCTCTCCTGGGTCAGACCAAAGGTCCATCTAGCCCAGTATCCTGTCTTCCAACAGTGCCCAATACCAGGTGCCCCAGAGGGAATGAACAGAACAGGTAATCATCAAGTGATCCATGCCCTGTCGCCCATTCCCACCTTCTGGCAAACGGAGGCTAGGGACACCATCCCTGCCCATCCTGGCTAATAGCCACTGATGGACCTATCCTTCATGAACTTATCTAGTTACTTTTTTAACCCTATTATAGTCTTGGCCTTCACAACGTCCTCTGGCAAGGAGTTTCACAGGTTGACTGCGTGCTGTGTGAAGAAATACTTCCTTTTATTTGTTTTAAACCTGCTGCCTATTAATTTCATTTGGTGACCCCTAGTTCTTGTGTTATGAGAAGCAGTACAAACCATTTCCTTATCTACTTTGTCCACACCAGTCATGATTTTATAGACCTCAATCATATCTCCCCTTAACCGTCTCTTTTACAAGCTGAAAAGTCCCAGTCTTATTATTTTCTCCTCATATGGAAGCCATCCCATCCATTCAGATTTATTTGGCTGCAAGATTAAACACTTCAGTAGTCCAAGTTAATCTTTGCTCCCTTGATACTCAGCTTATATTAAAACAAACAAAACAGGGGCAGTTGGTTTTACTGCTCCTGGAGCAGTAAAATACCCCTAATCATTTTTGTTGCCCTTTTCTGAACCTTTTCTAATTCCAATATATCTCTTTTGAGATGGGGTGACTACATCTGCACACAGTGTTCAAGATGTGGGCATACCATGGATTTACATGGAGGAAGTATAATATTTTCTGTCTTATTATCTATCCCTTTCTTAATTATTCCCAGTATTCTGGTCACTTTTTTGACTGCCACTGCACATTGAGTGGATGTTTTCAGAGAATGATCCACAATGTCTCCAAAATCTCTTTCTTGAGTGGTAACAGATCATTTAGACCCCATCATTTTATATGTATAGTTGGGATTATGCTTTCCAATGAGCATTACTTTGCATGTGTCAACACTGAATTTCATCTGCCATTTTCTTGCCCAGTCACCCAGTTTTGAGAGATCCTTTTGCAGCTCTTCACAGTCTATCTGGGTTCAACTATCTTTAGTAATTTTGTATCATCTGCAAGTTTTGCCACCTCACTGTTTACCCCTTTTTCCAGATCATTTATGAATATGTTGAATAGGACTGGTTCCAGAACAGACCCCTGGGGGACACCATGATTTACTTCTCTCCATTCTGAAAACTGACCAGTTATACCTACCCTTTGTTTCCTATCTTTTAACCAGTTACCAATCCACAAGAGCACCTTCCCTCTTATCCCATGGCAGCTTACTTTGCATAAAAGCCTTTGGTGAGGGACCTTGTCAAAGGCTTTCTGAAAATCTAAGTACACTATATCCACTGGATCCCCTTGGTCCACATGCTTGTTGACCTCCTCAAAGAATTCTGGTAAATTGGTAAGGCATGATTTCCCTTTACTAAAACCATGTTGACTCTTCCTCAACAAAAAGAAAAGGAGTACTTGTGGCACCTTAGAGACTAACAAATTTATTTGAACATAAGCTTTCGTGAGCTACAGCTCATTTCATCGGATGCATCCTCTGGCAAAGAGTTGTATCTGATGAAGTGAGCTGTAGCTCACAAAAGCTTATGCTCAAATAAATGTTAGTTTCTAAGGTGCCACAAGTACTCCTTTTCCTTTTGCAAATACAGGCTAACAGAGCTGCTACTCTGAGTCCTCAACAAAATATGTCTGACAAGATATTACATCATCCACCCTGTCTCTCTAATATCCTGGGAAAACTACAACTATACTGCATACGTAATTGAATCAGGGATGATTTGAGAGTCCTGACTGGCTTCATTGGAGTAGTTCCAGAGCATCACTCAGTGACAACTGGTGGTAGCTCTGGGATCCCCATCCTGGGTCTCTGGTTATGAAGGACACCGGTCATAGCATAGGTGCAGGCAGATGAAGCAGCCTTACCTGCCCCAGAGGTCTCAGCCAAAGTCACACAACCCTATTCCCACCACGAGATATTGGTGCAGCACACAGGGAAACCAAGGCACACACAGTATTCATGCAAAAATATTAAAACTCACATTGGCTCAACAGTAAGACTCACATACAACACAACATGGGAAAATCCCCACTTAGTCACAATGTCCATGAAAGCAAAACACTGGAGTAGATCATGCAGAATCAACTTCAGATTATCAATTACATAAAACTGAAGAGTTAAACCAGCAACCAGTCCCTCACCTGGAATAAGTAAGATAGCCCTTCATCTTAAATTAATAAAAAAAATTAATCCCGTATCCAGACAGAATCACCACAACACAATCTTTCTTGCTTTTATGGCTGCAAAAATATCAATCAATTCTGTGAAGTCCAACTGCTTACCAACTGGACATTGAACAGAGCGAAAGCACTCAAGCTCTACTGCGGCATTTGAGACTGTAAAGATGTCCTTATGGGCATTAACTTGGAGAAAGAGGGTTCAGCTAAAGCCATAGAGCGATGAGGTGTTCAGCCCACACATCATGAAAAGGTCAGTACGTGTCCGAGAAGCCAGTTAGCCTGCCTATTTGCACAGGGAGGGTGGGCTAGCCCTAATTAGGGATAAACAGGAGTGGGGAGTTAGATGGGCCCGGGCCGCGGGAGCTCGGGCTCCAGGCATATTCAGGGCCGGGGACTCTGCCCCACCAATGTTTGGAGCCGGGTCTCTCCCGCAGCCCCGCCTGGAGCGTCCCCCGGCTCCCGCCCGCCTGCGCGCCTCCCCCGGGCCCCAGAGCGTCCCGGCCTGGTTGAAAGCGGGCTGCTGCCGGGCCGCTCCGCGCTGCTCTCCCTCGCCTGAGCTGCCGGCCGCTGCCGCTGCCCACGGCGAGGCTGCAGCAGGGGAGCGACGGCGGCAGGCTGAGGCAGGTGGCTGCTGCCGCCGCAGCTGAGGAGCGGGAGGGGGCACACGCATGATTGGTAGCCCTCCCCTCCCCAGCACCCACCGGGAGGCAACACCAAGGGGGCTTCCAGCTGGGAGACGTCGGGAGTGGACCGGACTCACCTGAGCAGCTGCTGGGGCTTGGGTGAGTGTTTGACCCTGTGATCTGCCCCAGCCCACAGTCACCGCTCCTGTCCCATGCTGGGTAAGGGGCAGCCCTATTCCCCGTGAGGCTACGGTGACAGGCAGCAGGGGAGGAAGCCACATGTAATGGCAGCTCCCCCTTCCCCCCCCAGCACCCACCCACCACAGGGGAGGTGAGGGAGGGAGGGGGGGCCTTCCTGGACCTGAGCAGCTGGGGCTTGGGTGAGTGTTGTGACACCCTCCCCTTCTCCCCCCGCCACGCAGCCACCACTCCTGCCCCACACTGGGCAAGGAGCAGCCCCATCCCCCACCCCCAGTGAGGGGCAGCAGCAGGGTAGGAGGCCACATGTGATGGCAGCCTCTTCTCCCCCCCCCCCCCCTGGCACCCACCATAGCGGGAGGTGAGGGGGCTTCCTGGACCTGAGAGGGGCCCTAGGAGCACGTGCAGTGACAGTGGTATGAGGTAAGCGTGCTGCCGGGGTGGGGTAGGGGGGAAGATGGGGATTCCTCCTCCGGAGCTTGCTGCTGCTGGCGGGAGAGGGTTGGGGGGAGTTCTCCTCTCTGGCCCTAGCCCTGGGGCAGCCTGCCTGCACTTCAAGCTAGTCATCCCCAGCCCCATCCCACCACAAAGCCCGTGCCCCTAGCCAGAGCTGTCACCCCCTGCACCGCAGCCCCAGCCCTGAGCCCCCTCCTGTACCCCAGACCCCGCACCCAAACTCTCTCCCAGAGCCTATCCTCCGCACCCCTCCTCCTGCCCCAGCCTGTCCTCCGCACCCCAGTTTCCTCCCAGAGCCTGTCCCCTGCACCCTAACTGCCTGCTCCAGCCCAGACCCCACACCCCAACTCTGCATTACCCTCTCACTCTCAGTGTCCAAGAGAAATGGGAAAAAGAACTTAGCCTTATCATGACAACAGAAACATGGGAGAATATCTGGCATAATGTGAAATATTCTTCAAGTTCTTTATCCTTGCAATTCTTCCAGAACAAGATATTAAACAGGCACTACTGGATTCCAGAACATTTGCTGAAAGCTAGATTGGCAACATACTGAATGTTGCGATGCAAACAGTCCCAAGCCAATCTTTCACACATCCTCTATACCTGTCAAAAAAGTGCATGTGTTTTGGAACACCATATTCAGTGCTCTCTCAAACATTAACTGTGCTATCTTTCCTTCTCCAAGCTCATGTATTTTAGGAATGAATGGGTAATACCAAAAACAAAAGGAGTACTTGTGGCACCTTAGAGACTAACCAATTTATTTGAGCATAAGCTTTCATGAGCTACAGCTCACTTCATCGGATGCATTCAGTGGAAAATACAGTGAGGAGAGTTATATACACACAGAACATGAAAAAATGGGTGTTTATCATGCACACTGCATGGAGAGTGATCACTTAAGATGAGCTATTACCAGCAGGAGAGTGGGGGGAGGGGAGAGAGAAAACCCTTTGTAGTGATAATCAAGGTGGGCCACTTCCAGCAGTTAACAAGAACATCTGAGGAACAGTGGGGGGGAGGGGAGGAATAAACAGGGGGAAATAGTTTTACTTTGTGTAATGACTCAACTACTCCCAGTCTCTATTCAAGACTAAATTAATTGTATCCAGTTTGCAAATTAATTCCAATTCAGCAATCTCTCGTTGGAGTCTGTTTCTGAAGTCTTTCTGTTGATGATTTGCAACTTTTAGGTCTGGTTTCAGAGGAACAGCCGTGTTAGTCTGTATTCGCAAAAAGAAAAGGAGTACTTGTGGCACCTTAGAGACTAACCAATTTATTTGAGCATGAGCTTTCGTGAGCTACAGCTCACTTCATCAGATGTTTACCGTGGAAACTGCAGCAGACTTTATATACACACAGAGAATATGAAACAATACCTCCTCCCACCCCACTGTCCTGCTGGTAATAGCTTATCTAAAGTGATCAACAGGTGGGCCATTTCCAGCACAAATCCAGGTTTTCTCACCCTCCACCCCCCACACAAATTCACTCTCCTGCTGGTGCTAGCCCATCCAAAGTGACAACTCTTTGCATAATCAAGTCGGGCTATTTCCTGCATAGATCAAGGTTTTCTCACATCCCCCCCACCCCCATACACACACAAACTCACTCTCCTGCTGGTAATAGCTCATCTAAACTGACCACTCTCCAAGTTTAAATCCAAGTTAAACCAGAACATCTGGAGGGGGGGGGGGTAGGAAAAAACAAGAAGAAACAGGCTACCTTGCATAATGACTTAGCCACTCCCAGTCTCTATTTAAGCCTAAATTAATAGTATCCAATTTGCAAATGAATTCCAATTCAGCAGTTTCTCGCTGGAGTCTGGATTTGAAGTTTTTTTGTTTTAAGATAGCGACCTTCATGTCTGTGATTGCGTGACCAGAGAGATTGAAGTGTTCTCCGACTGGTTTATGAATGTTATAATTCTTGACATCTGATTTGTGTCCATTTATTCTTTTACGTAGAGACTGTCCAGTTTGACCAATGTACATGGCAGAGGGGCATTGCTGGCACATGATGGCATATATCACATTGGTGGATGTGCAGGTGAACGAGCCTCTGATAGTGTGGCTGATGTTATTAGGCCCTGTGATGGTGTCCCCTGAATAGATATGTGGGCACAGTTGGCAACGGGCTTTGTTGCAAGGATAAGTTCCTGGGTTAGTGGTTCTGTTGTGTGGTATGTGGTTGTTGGTGAGTATTTGCTTCAGGTTGCGGGGCTGTCTGTAGGCAAGGACTGGCCTGTCTCCCAAGACTTGTGAGAGTGTTGGGTCATCCTTTAGGATAGGTTGTAGATCCTTAATAATGCGTTGGAGGGGTTTTAGTTGGGGGCTGAAGGTGACCGCTAGTGGCGTTCTGTTATTTTCTTTGTTAGGCCTGTCCTGTAGTAGGTAACTTCTGGGAACTCTTCTGGCTCTATCAATCTGTTTCTTTACTTCTGCAGGTGGGTATTGTAGTTGTAAGAAAGCTTGACAGAGATCTTGTAGGTGTTTGTCTCTGTCTGAGGGGTTGGAGCAAATGCGGTTGTATCGCAGAGCTTGGCTGTAGACGATGGATCGTGTGGTGTGGTCAGGGTGAAAGCTGGAGGCATGCAGGTAGGAATAGCGGTCAGTAGGTTTCCGGTATAGGGTGGTGTTTATGTGGCCATTGTTAATTAGCACTGTAGTGTCCAGGAAGTGGATCTCTTGTGTGGACTGGACCAGGCTGAGGTTGGTGGTGGGATGGAAATTGTTGAAATCGTGGTGGAATTCCTCAAGGGCTTCTTTTCCATGGGTCCAGATGATGAAGATGTCATCAATATAGCGCAAGTAGAGTAGGGGCTTTAGGGGACGAGAGCTGAGGAAGCGTTGTTCTAAATCAGCCATAAAAATGTTGGCATACTGTGGGGCCATGCGGGTACCCATAGCAGTGCTGCTGATCTGAAGGTATACATTGTCCCCAAATGTGAAATAGTTATGGGTAAGGACAAAGTCACAAAGTTCAGCCACCAGGTTAGCCGTGACATTATCGGGGATAGTGTTCTTGACGGCTTGTAGTCCATCTTTGTGTGGAATGTTGGTGTAGAGGGCTTCTACATCCATAGTAGCCAGGATGGTGTTATCAGGAAGATCACCGATGGATTGAAGTTTCCTCAGGAAGTCAGTGGTGTCTCGAAGGTAGCTGGGAGTGCTGGTAGCATAGGGCCTGAGGAGGGAGTCTACATAGCCAGACAATCCTGCTGTCAGGGTGCCAATGCCTGAGATGATGGGGCGCCCAGGATTTCCAGGTTTATGGATCTTGGGTAGTAGATAGAATATCCCAGGTCGGGGTTCCAGGGGTGTGTCTGTGCGGATTTGATCTTGTGCTTTTTCAGGAAGTTTCTTGAGCAAATGCTGTAGTTGCTTTTGGTAACTCTCAGTGGGATCATAGGGTAATGGCTTGTAGAAACTCGTGTTGGAGAGCTGCCGAGCAGCCTCTTGTTCATATTCCGACCTATTCATGATGACAACAGCACCTTTTAGGTCTGTAATCGAGTGACCAGAGAGATTGAAGTGTTCTCTGACTGGTTTATGAATGTTATAATTCTTGACATCTGATTTGTGTCCATTTATTCTTTTACATAGAGACTGTCCAGTTTGACCAATGTACATGGCAGGGGGCACTGCTGGCACATGATGGCATATATCACATTAGTAGATGTGCAGGTGAACGAGCCTCTGATAGTGTGGCTGATGTTATTAGGTCCTGTGATGGCGTCCCCTGAATAGATATGTGGGCACAGTTGGCAACGGGCTTTGTTGCAAGGATAGATTCCTGGGTTAATGATTCTGTTGTGTGGTGAGTGGTTGCTGGTGAGTATTTGCTTCAAGTTGGGGGGCTGTCTGTAGGCAAGGACTGGCCTGTCTCCCAAGATTTGTGAGAACGATGGGTCGTCCTTCAGGATAGGTTGTAGATCCTTAATAATGCGTTGGAGAGGTTTTAGTTGGGGGCTGAAGGTGATGGCTAGTGGCGTTCTGTTGTTTTCTTTGTTGGGCCTGTCCTGTAGTAGGTGACTTCTGCGTACTCTTCTGGCTCTGTCAATCTGTTTCTTCACTTCAGCAGGTGGGTACTGTAGTGGTAAGAATGCTTGATAGAGATCTTGTAGGCGTTTGTCTGAGGGGTTGGAGCAAATGCGGTTGTATTGTACAGCTTGGCTGTAGTCAATGGATCGTGTGGTGTGGTCTGGGTGAAAGCTGGAGGCATGTAGGTAGGAATAGCGGTCAGCAGGTTTCCGGTATAGGGTGGTGTTTATGTGACCATTGCTTATTAGCACTGTAGTGTCCAGGAAGTGGATCTCTTGTGTGGACTGGTCCAGGCTGAGGTTGATGGTGGGATGGAAATTGTTGAAATCATGGTGGAATTCCTCAAGGGCTTCTTTTCCATGGGTCCAGATGATGAAGATGTCATCAATATAGCACAAGCAGAGTAGGGACATTAGGGGACAAGAGCTCAGGAAGCGTTGTTCTAAGTCAGCCATAAAAATGTTGACATACTGTGGGGCCATGTGGGTACCCATAGCAGTGCCGCTGATTTGAAGGTATACATTGGCCCCAAATGTGAAATAGTTATGGGGGAGGACAAAGTCACAAAGTTCAGCTACCAGGTTTGCCGTGACATTATCGGGGATAGTGTTCCTGACGGCTTGTAGTCCACCTTTGTGTGGAATGTTGGTGTAGAGGGCTTCTACATCCATAATGGCCAGGATGGTGTTTTCAGGAAGAACACTGATGGAGTGTAGTTTCTTCAGGAAGTCAGTGGTGTCTCGAAGATAGCTGGGAGTGCTGGTAGCGTACGGCCTGAGGAGGGAGTCTACATAGCCAGACAATCCTGCTGTCAGGGTGCCAATGCCTGAGATGATGGGGCGCCCAGGATTTCCAGGTTTATGGATCTTGGGTAGCAGATAGAATATCCCAGGTTGGGGTTCCAGGGGTGTGTCTGTGCGGATTTGTTCTTGTACTTTTTCAGGGAGTTTCTTGAGCAAATGCTGTAGTTTCTTTTGGTAACCCTCAGTGGGATCAGAGGGTAATGGCTTGTAGAAAGTGGTGTTGGAGAGCTGCCGAGCAGCCTCTTATATTCCGACCTATTCATGGTGACAACAGCACCTCCTTTGTCAGCCTTTTTGATCATGATGTCAGAGTTGTTTCTGAGGCTGTGGATGGCATTGTGTTCTGCGCGGCTGAGGTTATGGGGCAAGAGATGCTGCTTTTCCACAATTTCAGCCCATGCACATCGGCAGAAGTACTCTATGTAGAAGTCCAGTCTGTTGTTTCGACCTTCAGGAGGAGTCCACCTAGAATCCTTCTTTTTGTAGTGTTGGTAGGAAGGTCTCTGTGGATTAGTATGTTGTTCAGAGGTGTGTTGGAAATATTCCTTGAGTTGGAGACGTCAAAAATAGGAGTCTAGGTCACCACAGAACTGTATCATGTTCGTGGGGGTGGAGGGGCAGAAGTACAGGCCCCGAGATAGGACAGATTCTTCTGCTGGGCTAAGAGTATAGTTGGATAGATTAACAATATTGCTGGGTGGGTTAGGGAACCATTGCTGTGGCCTCTTGTAGTTAACATTAAGAAGTTGCAGTAAATTTTTAGTGGCCAAAAGAGTTAATTTGAGAAAATGGAAATCTGCAATTCCTCTCTCTCACACAGATTGGCTTCGCGAGCTCTCTTCTGTTGCAGCAATAGAAAAAATGATTTGGCCTAATAGAAATGCTTGGGGAAAAAATGAGGATGTCTGGTCACACATGAACCTACTGCATACTTTTTCAGTTTAGTATATATTAGTCCCTGATATTCCTAGGGTATGTTCTCATTTTATCTGTTTAGTCACTTTAATAATTGATACCTTGCACCACCACTATGGGTTCAGGGTTTGTTTTGTTTCAGGTTTTACAAATGAACATTGAATTTTGTTATTTATATGGTATTTCATTTAGTTTTGTTTATTTTATATACAAACAATATCACCTTGGTCAATTGGGCCATCAGCCCTCACAGACAGAGCGCAATCACAACACCCCATTCGTGGTGTTGTAGCCAGTCCTTCAGCCACCCACTGGCCAAGCTGTCAGTGGCACTGGACAGCTGATTGGCATACCACAGCACAACCCAGAACCCCTGAGCTCAAGCGATCTGCCAGCCTTAGCCTCCCAAGTAGCTGGGATTACAGGTGTGCGCCACAGCACCAAACACAAAAAATATCAATAAGGTTAAAAAAATGGAGCTTGAAAGCTCATGGGGATGTGGCCACATTGGATCTTGCCCATTCTGTCTTGTGATGAGGGGTTGCTTTGGACTTCTTCTTGGATACTTTATAAGGAAGCTGAGCTGATACATTCATCATCACCATCATCTTCATGCCAAATAGGAACAGATAGTCATTTAAATTGTCATTGTTTACCTCTCCCAATTTTAGAAGTTGCAGACATGCTCCTCTCTTGTTCAGTAAGACTCTCTTTTAGTGCAGACAGTATACTTTCCAGGCACAGCATTTGCTGTTCTGGCCAATGCTGTGTGAGGCTTAACACTCATCAAGTGGTTTTGTCTATTGATACACAATTCTTACCACTGGGGCAGGTAAGTAAGCATTATTTATCACCAATTTATATATAGGAAAGTGAAACTAAGGTCTGGATTTTGCCACTGAATCACATTACATATTTCGTTCTTCAGGAAACCACATTGGCTACAGCATTGTGGCCACTGATGCACTAAATCCTAAATAATCTCTTTCCTTCTGTACCTAGGACAAAAAGCCACCTAGGCTTGCTGATGTTGTATAGTAACAACTCTGGTAACCTGCCATTTTCACTTTTCAGCCCCAACAGACACTTCTGCTTTTTGGATGGCAGTATGGTTGATAGTTTCCAATATTACAGTTAATGAATGCCACCTCACCCCTTACCAACATGACGCCATGCTTGGTGCCACCAGGGTGGTGCCAACAGTATACTTCCCTATATACTGTGTGGGATGTTTTCAGTCTGACTCCTAAAACTGAGTTTGAGTAATCTACTGCAATACTTCATGCTGGACTTCATGCTAGAATGCATGTCAGCTCTGATGTAATAGGCTCCATGGTAACCACTGATCTCTCAGATTTTAATCCAGACAAGTTTGACTTTACTATTTAGTAGGGCTGTCGATTAATCACATTAATTAACTCAGAAAAATTAATTGTGATTAAAAAAAATTAAATGTGATTAATCGCACCGTTAAACAATAGAATACCAATTTAAATTTATTAAATATTTTTGGATGTTTTTCTACATTTTCAGATATATCCATTTCAATTACAACACAGAATACAAAGTATACAGTGATCATTTTATATTATTTTGATTACAAATATTTGCACTGTAAAAATGATAAACAAAAAATGTTTTTCAGTTCACCTCATACAAGTACTGTAGTGCAATCTCTTTATCATGAAAGTTGAATTTACAAATGTAGAATTATGTACAAAAAAAATCTGCATTCAAAAATAAAACAATGTAAAACTTTAGAGCCTACAACTCCACTCAGTCCAACTGCTAAGAGAAACAAGTTTGTTTACATTTACAGGAGATAATGCTGCCCACTTCTTATTTACAATGTCACCTGAAAGTGAGAACAGGCGTTCGCATGGCACGATTGTAGCTGGTGTTGCAAGATATTTATGTGCCAGATACACTAAAGATTCATATGTCTCTTCATGCTTCAACCACCATTCCAGAGGACACGCGCCTATGCTGATGATGGGTTCTGCTCGATAACGATCCAAAGCAGTGCTGACCGATGCGTGTTCAACTTCATTATCTGAGTTAGATGCCACCAGCAGAAGGCTGATTTTCTTTTTTGGTGGTTTGGGTTCTGTAGTTTCCACATCAGTGTGTCGCTCTTTTAAGACTTCAAAAAGAAAGCATGCTCCGCACCTCGTCTCTCTCAGATTTTGGAAGGTACTTCAGATTCTTAAATCTTGGGTTGAGTGCTGTGACTATCTTTAGAAATTTCACATTGGTATCTTCTTTGCATTTTCATCAAATTTGCAGTAAAAGTGTTCTTAAAATGAATATGTGCTGGGTCATCATCCGAGACTGCTATCACATGCAATATATGGCAGAATGTGGGTAAAACAAAGCAGGAGACATACGATTCTCCCCCAAGGAGTTCAGTCACAAATTTAATTAACACATTATTTTTTTTAACAAGCGTCATCAGCATGGAAGCGTTCCTCTGAAACGATGGCCGAATCATGAAGAGGCACATGAATCTTTAGCGCATTTGGCACATAAATATCAGCTACAACAGTAGAAAATATAAGCAAGCAACAATTTACTAAATTTACCCCAGCTTTATCTCAATTGTTAAAACTTGAGAAGTCAATATGTTAACAATCTTTGCAAAATAAAAACTGGTTCTAATCTCTAATGCGAAGTATTGTGACTGAACTATCATTTATATTTAGGACTAGAAGAGAGTTTCAAGACAGATTACCAGGATTTTCCAGTGTCTTCAACAATGATATTGCGCTCAAGATTCCAAAAGCCTTCCGAGGTGAAGATTAGAAAACAACAAATAAGGTGTGGTAAAAATAAACAGAAAAAATCAACTGCATCTCGGATACCAGTGGACCAGGAAACTACACGTAAATATCAAAACCTAAAGAAATCATCAAGTAAATGTGAAGGTAAACTTTTCTTTACTATAACTAAAGCGTGTGCCTGAGAGAGGTAATGTGCAAAGCAAAATTCAGGACTGAATTCAGTACTGAAATTTGGGCTGAATGGCCTCAGAAAACAGGCTGAGAAGGACATTCAGCACAGAAATACATAAGAACGGCCATACTGGCTCAGACCAAAGGTCCATCCAGCACAGTATCCTGTCTTCCAACAGTGGCCAATACCAGGTGCCCCAGAGCGAATGAACAGAACAGGTAATCATCAAGTGATCCATGCCCTGTTGCCCATTCCCACCTTCTGGCAAACGGAGGCTAGGGACACCATCACTGCCCATCCTGGCTAATAGCCATTGATGGACCTATCCTCCATGAACTTATCTAGTTCTTTTTTGAACCCTGTTATAGTCTTGGCCTTCACAACATCCTCTGGCAAAAAGTTCCACAGGTTGACTGTGTGTTGTGTGAAGAAATACTTCATTTTGTTTGTTTTAAATCTGCTGCCTATTAATTTCATTTGGTGACTCCTCATTCTTGTGTTATGAGAAGGAGTAAATAACACTTCCTTATTTACTTTCTCCATATCAGTCATGATTTTATAGACCTCAATCATATATGCTCCCTTAGTTGTCTCTTTTCCAAGCTGAAAAGTCCCAGTTGTATTAATCTCTCCTCATACCGAAGCCATTCCATACCCCTAATCATTTTTGTTGCCCTTTTCGGAACCTTTCCCAATTCCAATATATCTTTTTTGAGATGGGGTGACCACATCTGCACACAGTGTTCAAGATGTGGGCATGTTATGCTTATAAGAAGCACACGGGATCTTTTATAGGGGAAAAGGCAATACGCCGCGTTTATTGAAGATACAACAATTAGCATATACATTCAATCACACCACGCACACACACAAACACACTGTCCCACCAACTGATGTTACAGTTACCAGTCCAGAGTTTGGATCAACCTAGTGGCCAGCTAGGTTGATCACTGGTAGGGAGGAGCTGGGTTCCGTTGGTCGCAACACGATGCTCCGGGGAAGTCTTGGCAGGACGAACCCAAAGTTTCATGGCAAGGCACCCTGTTTATATAGTGATTTTCCTTCACTGGGACCAATGAGTTTTGCACCATTATGCTGTAATCAATTGTAATTTGACGAGTGCTTGTTTTCTTAAATTGTCCTTCTCATTCTTTATCACAGCTATGTTGTCCCCATTGATAGGTGCCTGTCTCATCTTTAAAGTCGTCAATCTGCCCTCCTCTGACATTTCAATAGGGACATGTTGTGCCTCCTGGCGCCCTTGCGTCTGTTTCTGGTTCCTCCCTCGTACATCTGGCTCAGCGATGGCCTTCACACGTATCTCTTAACACACACATTCCTCATTCACACACAAAACAAAATTAATTTACATAGGACATTTTGAACAGGAACATCAAATTGCAATGCAAAAGAAAAACAATCCTTGCATTCTTTTACTTACTTTAAAATGCTAAACCTACAACAAGTTGGTGACCCTCTAAGGTCTGTCACTGCCTTTGAAATCAGCACAGACACAGATTCTGGCTGATGCATCTTTACCAAATGACCCATTAGGCCATTCCTTTCTGCCATTCAAAAAGGGTGGCTGGCAGAATATGATCAAATCATACACCAATACATTTAATACATGTATAACGATGCTGGCTTTGGTGGGACACAACTGAGAGTGCCAATTCAGGACAAATTGCTTAAAGCAGGGTAGTTACAGCCTAAGGCTGGGGTTTTTCCACCTCTAAGGCAAACCAAACCAGCCAGACACAGAGGACTTTGGTTTTACCCCACTGGCTAACCACAAGTCACACAAGCAATTCCGTTAGACACTCCAGTTTCCCAGTATCCCCACAAGTGCCACTCGTAATGGGGACAAATGGTTATGAAAACCAATACCCCTGTCATAAATATAAAGGGAAGGGTAACCACCTTTCTGTATACAGTGCTATAAAATCCCTCCTGGCCAGAGGCAAAACCCTTTCACCTGTACAGGGTTAAGAAGCTAAGATAACCTCACTGGCACCTGACCCAAAATGACCAATGAGAGGACAAGATACTTTCAAATCTGAAGGCGGGGGGGACAAAGGGTTGGTCTGTCTGTGTGATGCTTTTGCCGGGAACAGATCAGGAATGCAGACTTACAACTCCTATTAAGTTTGCTCAGATTTGTCCTCTAAAAAGAATGGCTCGGGTGTGGGAATCTCCCTTATGTCCTCTGCAGTGAAGACTGACTCAAAGAATTCATTTAGTTTCTCTGCAACTGCCTTATTGTCCTTCAGTGCTCCTTTAGATCTCGATCATCCAGTGGCCCCGCTGGTTGTTTAGCAGGCTTCCTGCTTCTGATGTACTTAGAATTTTTTTTTAATTACTTTTTGAGTCTTTTGGCTAGCTGTTCAAATTCTTTTTTTGGCTTTCCTAATCATATTTGTACACTTAATTTGCCAGAGTTTACGCTCCTATTTTCCTCCCTAGGATTTAACTTCCACTTTTTAAAGGATACCTTCTTGCCTCTCAGTACTTCTTTTACTTTGTTTAGCCACGGTGGCTCTTTTTTAGTTCTTTTACTGTGTGTTTTAATTTGGGGTATACATTTAAGTTGAGCCTCTATTATGGTGTCTTTAAAACGTTTCCATGCGGGTTGCAGGGATTTCACTTTTGGTGCTGTACCTTTTAATTTCTGTTTAACTAACCTCCTCATTTTTGCATAGTTCACCTTTCTGAAATTAAATGCCGCCGTGTTGAACTGTTGAGGTGTTCTTCCCACCACAGGAATGTTAAATGTAATTATATTATGGTCACTATTACCAAGCAGTCCAGCTATATTCACCTCTTGGACCAGATCCTATTTAAGTATCTGGAGCAGCCTAAAAATGACCGGTTCCAGCAACAAACATTTCCCTACACACACCAAAACAAAGCTCACTACTAAAACAACAAGTCTAAATGCACTTCCTGTCATATCAGTGTCCTGAGACCTGTCCCAGAACCAAAAGTAGAACTTGAAATGTCATGAGCAGGTCAATTCCTTGTGGGAAGAGAAGTGACGGAAGCAGGCACTCACCATATGCTTTCCTAGTCTGTTTATTCACTATGTGTGTACTCAGTTCCTGTTTACCTTAAACAAAGAGGGTAGAAGCATCAGCAAAGGTTCCCAGAAACAATTGTATCTTCACAACTCTAGCAAAAACAGAGGTTTCATTCTAGTTAAATCAGTGTATAATTGGAGTAATGCCATGGTGAATTCAACCCAGTATTCTCAGCACAATTCGTTAATTCCCGCTGCATTTCTGGATCCCCTGAAAGCTTCCTGTTTCTACCCTGTTCCTTCAGTTGCCTTATGTTCTGGCCAGAGCACTGAAAAATCAATGTTACCTTATGGTACTCATTTACTCTTCATCTTGTGCTGGCTCTGAAGTTACATTTTGTCCAACTTAGTAACACCCCCTTCCTCCTGTATTCCAAAGCATTAAGTCAAGCCCAAGAAGATGCTGCTTAATTCACCCAACCTCGTATTCAATGCCATGGTCCCCCTACACATTACATATCATTCTCCTGATGTCTCATGGCACTGGAGATCTATTCAGTATAGGATACGATATAGGACAGATGAGACTTGGTGCCTCTGTCATGAAATGTCTGACTGTCTTGGGACTGTGTTTAGTATAGACTCGGCCAGTATTAAGTAAACAAACATCTTACCTTAGTAGAGGGTGAGAAAATGCTAGCCTCAGACCAGCTGTAAAATCAATAGAGCTCTAAGGTATGTACACAAACTCTTCACAGACCTCTACCCCTTTTTAGTTTGGGTTTTAATATTGGAAACCTATTTTAAAAACTACTTTCCCATTGATTAATGGGATTGGCCCCAGTATTTTCAATCAGTGCTTGCACTCTCCTTTCTGGACGTTATTCTCATTTGTCTGATGTGCTGAGTATCAATATACCCCAAAAGAAAGGTATGACGAGAGACTGAAAGAAGTGTGCATGTTGGACTTTGTTTAGAAATGTGATACATTTCTTTCCCCTGATGCTGGCTGTGTGTATGTCTCTTCATCCTTAATTGACCTTCAAGTCACCAAGGTGTGAAACTCTGAGGAGGATAATCAAGTAAAGCACATGCTCTGTTATCCACCCCCCTTTTGAGCAGTTTCAGCAATACCTCTATGCTCTTGCCAGTTTCCAGTTTGACCTACTATATTACTGATGCCTCAGATTGAGGATAATCGGGTTTTCCTTGCCATGATCCATTGCATTCTGCTCCTTTCTCTCTTTAAAATAACTGTTTGATTCTAATACTTATTTGCAAAAAGAACAGGCGTACTTGTGGCACAAGTACGCCTGTTCTTTCTGTGGATACAGACCAACATGGCTGCTACTCTGAAACCTAACATTTATTTGTATCCTGTTCCCAGGACTAGGGCTTCCTAGAATTCAAATACCTTTCCTTGTAGCACTTACCTAGGAAGATTTGGGGTCTTTCACCAGTGGTGGTTGGTCCCCAAAATAAGTGCTGGAGCTGCAGGTAACACCCCAGGCCACTACTTTGCAGATGGATCTTATTTTCAAAGTGCAAAACTGGAGCACTAGGCTCAGGAGGCTACAGGGATGTGTTTTGCTGCAATGGGAAAATGGGAAGAAAGAATAGGTGGTCTCTCTTTCTAGCTCACCTCCTCTCTCTTTCAGAATGGAAAACTGGGACACTTCTCAGGGAAACACAAGGTGGAAGAAAATAGTTCTGTATCCCTCCCTGACCCCTTTGCTGTTTTCTAAATCCAAACCTTTCCCTATCCAATCTAGCTCTTACTTTACTGTCTCTCACCCCAACACACCTGACCAGTTCACCCACACACTCATTCACCAACAGACTCCATTCCACCTTGGATTCAACCCTACTAATGCAACCTCTTTATGCCTCATGCTCCCCAAACTAGGGTGACCAGATGTCCCGATTTGATAGGGACAGTCCCAATTTTGGGGTCTTTTTCTTATATAGGCTCCTATTACCCCCCACCCTGTCCCGATTTTTCACATTTGCTGTCTAGTCACCCTACCCAAATCACATCGGCTTCCTGCAACACAGTTATCCACCAGCCCCTTGGGCCCTCAACCTTTGCACAGCTGACACTCTGAGGCTTAGGACACACACACACACACACACTTTCAGGACGAGAAACATTCTCCCACCTCCTTCCTGACACCCATCACAACCACCAGGCTCAGAGCCTTCCACCTACTTGTTCACTTCGGAAAAGCTGGAACAGAGTAGGGTTGCCAATCCTCCAGGATTGTCCTGGAATCTCCAGGAATGAAAGCGTAATCTTCAATGGAAGATTGTGTCATGTGAGAAAATCTCCAGGAATTCATTCAACTAAAGTTGGCAACTGTAGAGCAGACAGTCGTGCTCTGTGCCTCCTCCCACTTTGCCCTGTAACCTGTATGCTGCAGCACCAGGTGTCTCCCAACATTCTCTGGGATAGCCTCTGGGATAGGAGTAGCTTCAGTATCTCCAGTAGCCCACAATGGCTGCAGGTGGTTCTGCACCCTGAGGTACATCAGCCATTCTATACTGTTGTGTGACATTATTGGTGGGGCTTAGCCCCTACTGACAAGCCATTTCTGTCTTTTACTATTTCCTACAGGTGGTGAATTTAAAACTAAAGTTAGCATTGGGTTTGGTTTTGTCATTACAAAGGCAAAAAAAAAAAGATGACTGAAGTTTAGTTAAACCCAAAATCATAGCTGCCTGAGCCCACTCTGTTACATTCATGTTGCCTGTGGCTGTATTTTAAGACTTTGTTTAGTTTTTCTACTTTTCAGGGGTTGCCATAGGAAGATTCTGTTAGGTAACCTTTCTATTTTTCTGTGACCAGCAGAACTAACTGAAATTCATTTGTGACTAGCATACCAACACTATGACAGAAAGAAATGTTACATACTGACAAGGGACTCAAAAACGCTGCGTTTTGATTTAGACGAGTATGGTCATTGTAAAATATCAATTGAGGATTCACAATCCACTGAAGGTACAGTTTCTCTTTCTATATCAAAATAATATATATTGTCTAACGGGACACTTCTATGTATTTCCATGTACTTGCTTTCACTTACTCTGTATTATCAGTCAGCATTAGACACATTTGATCCCACTAGTATGATGCTTTGGTAGTTACAGAACAAAAACAACTAGTACAGGCTTAAAGTAAGAACAGTATAATTTTAAATGAAAAGTAGATTATCTTGTTTATTGGCCACTAGAGTAAAAGCATGTTTGTTTCTCCCCCCTCCACCTACTGGATTGCAATCATTTGGGAAGACTGCAGGGAGAAATAAAAGGAGATACAGAAACTTTGAGGTGTGGCCATATTTAACTCCTTCCTGACCTGTGACTGGGCTTCTCTAATCAATGCACAAAAATGGCACCCCAGCTAGCATTCAAAGAATAGCTGCTAGACATTTTGGGGGAGGAAATGGTAGAGGGAGAAAATACAAATAATGATTGAGTTGAGCAGCCCCAATGTGTTGAAGGGAGTGGAAGCACTGGTTGCGCTATGTGTGCCTCTAATGTGCTTCACAGGTTAAAAGCAGTAAATACTCAAGACTCCTTTTATTTTACCTTTTTCCTAGGGTAAAACAATCCTCTCCCTGAATGTTTATCCGTTTTGAGGGGTTAAATATAGAGCTAAATGCTGCCCTCGACTTCCACGGACAGAGAGGAGCTTACAATCCTAGATCATGGCGGAGGAGGTGTGGAATGGGAATTTGACAGGGTTCCAGAATTGGGATAAGTTTGGGAGGAGCTGTTCTTCGCTGTATGCCCTCCCCTCCTCAAACTGCAGATCTATACAGTGCAAGACACTGCAGACCTAGAGCCAGCACTTTACCTGGGTAATTGAGCATAACTCCTGCCTCATGGGAGCTATGTCAATTTACTCCAGCTGAGGATCTGTATCTGATCCTACCTCTGTACAGCAGAAGGCCCCCATTGTCGGGGATCTAGAGGGAGCTGGCAGTTGAAGAAGACCATGACAGTCAAGATGTGCTGTCAAGTAATGCAAGGAGCTAGGGAAGGGAGTCAGGCCCAGTGGACTGCTGAAGATCCAACCTGACTGGGGACATCTGTGGATTTACAGCACTGAACTCCTGGACTCTTCTACAGATAGGGCTAGGGGAAGTATTCCAGGGAAACTCTGCAATTTGGAACTTAAGTTTCTATACTGAGAAAATAAGCTGTGGAGAATGGGGCCCATAATTAGTTTTTAAATATGAATTTGCATGTATGTGTATGGGAGGGTTTCCCATTATCTGGTGACCAATTTGTCAGCTGCTGGTCAGCAATCCCTGCGTAGTTAGGGTTAAGTTTTGTCTCCTAGCTACAGCTCCACAATGTCTACTAGAGCTGCACCACCGCAACAGAAGCTCTAAGAGGCATCCAAGTTCACAGGAAGCAGACCTGCTGCACCATGATGGAGAAGGGAGCAGCATGTGCTCCCCTCCACACTGACCGGGTCTGCCATTGCAGAGAGAGGAGCCACAGACTTTTGGAGGGGCTGGTGCAAAGTTTGTAACTCTGAACAGCTGGAGGAGCACAGTGTTTGCAACTGTGGCCAGGCCCTGAGTGGGGAATGCAAGGTGGGGCACAAGCTACCTTCCTACCATTATACACTCACATAAGAGTTAGTCACAATTTGGCCCCTTGTTACTAGACTGGTGCTTAAAACTCAGATTAGTCTCTCACTGCACTACTAACCTCTATCTTCAAGGATTTATTCTGTTATAAAAGAAAGTGAATAACTACAATTGTCATACTCTCCTCCTCCCCAATACAGATATCAGGACAAAAATGGTACACAACTCCATTTAAGTAGGCCTACACTTAAGGCAGCATATAGAGTACAGACACTGTATGCCCAGCTAGAACATCAGGGTAGATGGCGAGGCACTGCTTAAGCTAGTGGAGAAAGACCAGGACCTTAGGGTATACATGGCTGCCTACATGCCTAAGGAGGGCCTCCCACTTCTACATTACTTTTAGCAACGTAGTGTCCTACTGCCTCCCTGCTGCCAGAGCCCTTCCCCAGAGCCCTTCCCCACTGCAGTGAAATGCTCCAGCAGTGGAAAAAGGCTCTGGCAAGGGGGAGGTAGTGGGAAAAGGCCAGCAGCTCCCTACTGCTGAGCCTTTCCCCCACTGCCTTTCCCCTGCCAGAGCCTTTCACTGCTGCGTGCAGATACACACTGCAGCCTCGGCACAGCCTGCCTTTTCATTGTCCTGTGTAGCTACACCTACTCTGCAAGTGGCTGATAAGGCCATTGTAAGTGTATATGAATGCAAAACCGTGGTTAAGAATTAGAAGGAAATGAAGCCTGACTCCTATTGTTACTGAATATTCCAGGAAAACTGAATGTTGAGTTTTTGCAGAATACTTTTAAAAAATATTCTTAGTTTGCATCCTATGTATGTTTAATTGCAAAAATATTCTTTATATTTTAGATATTGCATGGTTAGACATATTCACAAGCAACAAACTGAATAACTGTGGTAAGATTTTGGTTACTGTGGCCCTGAGAGCAAAACTATATTTGTTTATGTTAGAGTTTTGGTTTTGAAAAGGTTTTTGATGGACCTTCAAGGGAAATACAGAGGGTTAGTAATGCAACAAGAAGGTGTTACTGATCTTAGAGATTCCTGTCTATCTTAAGGTTTTCTATAATGCTCATCAGTGTAGTAACAAAGCACTGCTAAGACTAACATTAATATTCAGAACATTAATAATATTTAGCACTTATATAGCGCTATACAAATATTAGTTACCAAAACACGCTCGTTAGGTAAGGAAGTCCTTATTAAACCCACTTTATAGGTGGGCTAAGAGAGTTTGAATGATGTGTTTAATTCCAGAATTCAATGAGGCAGTGCTACATTTACAACAAGTTCTTGGCTTCCAAGCTCATGGTCAAGCTTCAAACATATTCAAAGGTGATATATAAATTAGACTCCCTTAGATCTGCTTACACCAGAATACCAATGTGTATGGGAGTCTTAGGTGGTGTTACAAACATTTGGGCAGCTAGAAGGAGGATGAAAAGTGAGGATTAAAGCAGGAGAATGGCTTCCTTTAACTTACATCCTCCTATCATCTGTTTTTATTGCTACATTTCTCTCTCCTGGCCTGTTGGAATGTGAATTAGTCTTATGGCTTCCTTACATGCAGTTGAACTCATTGATGTGCAATTTGCACATCACTTCTGAATTTGGCCCATCGAGTGAAAGGGTATAACACAAGGATAAAGAACTTGAAATATCTTGCACGTTACAGGAGATATCCTCCCAGGTTTCAAATTAGTATAATTTACCTGCTGAGGTACAACTAAATGGTGTACTTTATACTTCTTCTTGCAGATTTAGTCCATCTAAATGCCATTATCTTTATTTAGATGTAGTTGCATATAAATAGACTGTGCTAGAACGTGTCCCACAGTCTACCAAGGATTTTTAGAGGGATTCCATGTAGTTAAAATACCCAGAAGGCTGACTCAGACATAGTTCCTTCCAGGGGTCTCCCATAGAGTGCACACCAGCCAGTCAGAGGTTCATTGGATGGCACAAAGGATGAATTTGGTCCACTGACTCCAAATAGTTTTTAAAGAGTACAAAGCTCTCCAGAACAACAACAAAAAATCTCTTTAATTGCACTGACTTGTAGAACTTGTAAAGGTACGGTGATACTATGGGGACAGACATATTCTAAACAGAAAAAATACTGCCTGACCTGGTTGGACTTAGCCATACTCTATTTACTATAGGAATTCCTTTTAAAGAAAGAACTGTATTATTTGTGGGACCCCTATTTGGTAATTCCTGCAGCTGGCCTATCAACAACCCCTCATTTCAGTCTACCATTTCATATAGATTGGTAGAAGGTATTCTTGGTTCATATCCTTTCTGCTTATGATCCTTATTTATTAGTTTTCCCAGTTTTTTAATCTAAACCTTGTTTTTGGTCTTGAGATGGCCAACAGAAATGGATATTTTTCACTTACTGTTAGAATTAGTTAAAACTTCGCACTGCCCTATTATTTCCCTCGTTTTTATGCTATTTAGAGAACGTCATTTCAAATAGGAGTCAATCCAACCATCCCATGAATGACTCAGAATCCATGGTGTACACATCATTCATTTTTATAAGGAGGATATAAAGCCATGGTTGTTGTATATGCTTTTGGTAGATCCCAAAGTACTTTACAAAGATGGTCAATATCTGGAGTGCTTAGGCGTGTTGTTATTCTTGTGTCTATCAGTATACAGTGAAAACTGAATATTGCCTCTGCAGAAGATTTTCTAGTTATGTTTCAATTCACAAAAAGAGTCTGTATTTTAAATTTATACTTTAGCTCCAGTGGCCAGAAACGGAATTAAAAAACGTTGTAAAAATTTGGTGACCATGACCCAGCGATCAAAAAATAACTTTCTCCTATTGGGCAAGAATAAGAAACAACTGTACCTGAAGGTAAGAAGTAGTATATTTGCCCCTCATCTTTTCATCAAATCGTCTTTGCCTTTCTTCATCCTTTTTCAGTTTTCCCAAGTCCCTTTCTGCTCCTGTTAAAGGAAATCAGAGCTCAGCTGCTTATGCTGAGCTCTGGTGTTTGGATGCTGACAGCCTCCTATCTCTTTCACTGCTATTCTTGGTAATGTATTTTAAATCTCAGAGCACACTTGTGTATATATGGCATGCTCTGAGATTTAGAATACAAAGTGCATACAAAGCATCGAGTAAGCTAGAAAGCAAATGTTAGTACTTCGTAGCACATCATTAGAGCCCAGTGTGGGAAGCTAGGTTCTAGCTTCCTGTAGAGAGGGAGAGATTGCTGCAACAGGAGGTGATGTGCAGGAAGAGAAGGGAGGAAAAGAGGAATAAAGTACTCCATGTGAAAGAGGAGGGCTTGGGAGTGGAATTCTCTTCTCAAGACAAACTGGAGTTTCAATATTCAGACAGGAATATTGATCTAAGAAAAGAAACCACAGATCTGTGTGCTAACATGCTTTTAAATACTCTTACCCTGTGTAATTAGAATTTTTTGTTTTTGTTTTGTTTTGTTCTCCAAGCCATTGAGGGTTTGTCTAGATTAGGGAAAGCAATCAAGGTTTGGTTACCCTAGTGTTATAAGATAACAACTTTAACCTTGAGTTAACTGGTTCTGATTGACTCCAGGAGGATATCTAAGATGGATCTCAACCAACTAAATTGAGGCAAAAAGGTGTCAACAGGTATGTATGCTATGGGAAACAGGATTGCTAACCCTGACTGCTTTTCTTAGTGTAGGCAAACCCTGTGTCACTTCCTCATGTTAAATTTGAAAAACCATTTTTTGTTTCTTTTTAAGTTACAATTCACTTTCTATGGAAAGCATTTTGTGAGAGAATGAGTAAAGGCATTCCTATTAAAATACAGGAGAACAAGCACTTAGAAGGGATTTACCTGATTCAGAGATTAAATGTCCACAATTTTTTTTTGTCTGAAATGGGTACCACAGAATCTAGAAAGATTTGAACCTTGTGCCCCAAGTTGTCACTGGTAAATGAACTGTTTTGAAGTTCCAGATCATAACTCAGCATTCCCTGACATGGTTCCAGCTTTCAATTAATATGTTTTAAGTTTCTCAAAACTGACAACCTTAGAAAGTTCATGGGCCCTATTCTCCTCCAGCAGGATATAAACATTTTCCTTGGGCTCAATGGGCATAATTAGATCCCCATGGCTGTAACATACTATGAGAATATAATAAAAACATGATTCAGTCCCATCTATGCTGCAAGATGGAATTATGTTTTGAACCAAGTTGAGGAACTATCTTATTGTAACTGGTCTCCACCCAGTTCATTCTGCAGTATAGGTGGTCACTAAGTCTCTTAAAAATTCTTTAAATTTCCCATCAGAGGGATTGGAATAGTTTTGTTTAGAATTAATCAGCCATTGACGGTACAACCCATGGTTAATACAATTCAGAATAGGAAGGGAAACACCAATTTTGGTGGCTGTCTTCACAGGTCTTGAATCCAAATGGTAAGACAACAGAGGGTCATATGGTGGAAGAAGACGGCATGGAAGTGATTACAGGTGGAGCTCCTGACCCCAGGCAGGTATGTGGTCAGCCAAATATGTGTGGTGTGTGTACACACCTATGCGGGGGGTGGAACTGTACAAGGGGCACAACCCTGATGCTTCAATCCCATTTGCTACAAATGATATCATTTACATTTCACCAATTATCTGTACTCCTATTCTTTCTGATTTTTAACATTAAGTGAAAGAGTAATGATGTCTCACCTGTGAATTGGTGGTCATCTTCTAGGAGTGCATCCATCAGTTCAGAGTCAATCTTTAGGCTTAGACTAGAACATAGAAGATACAGAGAAGTTTCTCCACAGTTGTCATAAATATAAAGGGAAGGGTAACCACCTTTCTGTATACAGTGCTATAAAACCCCTCCTGGCCAAAGGCAAAACCCTTTCACCTGTAAAGGGTTAAGAAGCTAAGATAACCTCGCTGGCACCTGACCAAAATGACCAATGAGGAGACAAGATACTTTCAAATCTGAAGTGGGTGGGGGGGAACAAAGGGTTCATCTGTCTGTGTAATGCTTTTGCTGGGAACAGATCAGGAATGCAGCCTTACAACCGTTAGTTAGTAAGTAATCTAGTTAGAAATGTGTTAGATTTCCTTTTGTTTAATGACTGGTAAAATAAGCTGTGCTGGATGGAATGTATATTCCTGTTTTTGTGTCTTTTTGTAACCTAAGGTTTTGCCTAGAGGGATTCTCTAGGTTTTGAATCTGATTTCCCTGTAAGGTATTTACCATCCTGATTTTTACAGAGGTGATTCTTTTACCTTTTCTTTAATTAAAATTCTTCTTTTAAGAACCTGATTGATTTTTTCATTGTTTCTTAAGATCCAAGGGTTTGAGTCTGTGTCCACCTGTACAAATTGGTGAGGATTTTTATCAAGCCTTCCCCAGGAAAGGGGGGGGGGGTGTAGGGCTTGGGGAGAGATATGGAGGAAGATGTTTCCAAGTGGGATCTTTCCCTGTTCTTTGTTAACACGCTTGGTGGTGGCAGCATACGGTTCAAGGACAAGGCAAAATTAGTACCTTGGGGAAGTTTTTAACCTAAGTTGGTAAGAATAAGCTTAGCAGGACTTTCATGCAGGTCCCCACATCTGTACCCTAGAGTTCAGAGTGGGGAAGGAACCTTGACAACAGTAATTCCAGAGGACTGCGGTTGGGAAAGCCCAGACATGTGAGCCAGCAGAGACTTCCAGTACAAAAGCTAAAGTCCACATCACAGCTGTAACAGAAAGAAGAAAAGGGAGGGGACTCTGGCCTGATGGATATACCTCTATGAGAAGACCAACTTACAGGGAAAGCAAAACTGTCCCATTCTCAAGAGCAGTGCACTCACCTGAAGTCAGAACTACTGGGAAATAACAAGCAGTAGACTCAGAAAAGGAAAGTTGACAGACACCAAACATAAACCAGAAATTCAGAATGAACTACTCCACTGCAGGACCTTGAGACTTAAATCTGTATCAGTAGAAGACTATGAAACAACATGGTAATGTCTTGTGAATGTATGAACAGGCAATTGGGTGTCAGCTTACCACATTTCAGTGTAGAAAGTCTCGTTTTTAACTGGCCTGTAGGTAGAAATGGATAATGGATATTTTGTGGGCACACAAAAATACATTAGTATGGTGGCTTTGGCATATTTTCTCTGAACAGACATCCTAATCCAGTGGAAAATGGAAGTTTCAGACAACTTAATTTATTCTCAAAAGCATTTATATTATGGTAGCACCCTAAGGCACAACCAGGTTAACTTAATGGTCTTCAAATTTAAATTGACAAGGTGATCTTTTATTGGACCAACTTCGATTGGCAAAAAAGACAAGCTTTTGAGCTACACAGTCCTTTTTCAGGTCTAGGCAAATTTAAATGTCAGTCTCTCCACTTAAAGGCAATAAATTTCAGACTGCATGGGTTCAGGTACAGAACTGATCCCAGAAAAGTTGATCTGAAGAAATTGGAAAAAAACTAAGATGGACAGCTGCCATTTCTAACAAGTGAAGGAGCATGTCTCCTAAGCCAGAAAGGAGTGATAACTTTGACTAGATCTCTCTTGATCTTTCTGGTAACCTGAGAAAACAGAGGAACAGCAGGAAGGTTGGTTGTGTTTTGTTTATTTCCTCCCCTCTGTTTTAAGATGTTCCTGGGAGCACTTTCTCTTTCTAGGACAGAAGTCCTAGAAAATAGTTTCCTTTGCATTTCTGGAACAAGTCTCTGAATTGGAGACAGAGTAAAAAGTGAAGTCCAAGGAGCAGAGGGTGAGAAAAATTTCCCTTTCTGAGAAGGACAAAGCTTTCAGAGGTCTGAAGTCTTTGACAATTTTAAGAGTTACCTACTACACTTTAATTTGCTTCTCCACTGGTGTAGATAAAGAAATGCCAGGTCAGGATGATCTTAGTCAGAGGGAACTGTTCCCAAGGGAACTACATGGGGTAAAACCAGGGCAGTTGGGATCTCATGGCATGTAGTATAGGGCCAGCCAATTCCAATAATACAGGGTGTCCAATCTGATAGTAGACCCCAGCCTCGCGAGAATGGAGGGTGTTTACAAGGATTGTCTTAAAGGAGTGGGGATGGGAAACCTGAGAGGACTCACTGGAACCAGAGCCTGGAATAGTATGCCATCAGTATGTGTGTGGTTGGGGGAGGGAGATTGTCTAATCCATACCTGTGTGTTGCTCTTTGTCTTGCTCCTTCTCGTCTCAATATTATGGTATCAAAAGCATTAAGGGAGGGGTAAGTCTGGCAGTGGTAGGTGTAGCATATGAGTCCCATCTGAGAAGGTGCTCTCACTGATGCCGGTGGCATGGTCTTCACCTCTCTTAGAACTTTGGCCTGAAATTAGCAGCTGGAGGCAGTTCTTGAAGGCAGCAGAGAAAGGAAGAGAAGGTAAGAAAAGAATAAGATGAAAAACAGAAAGGGTCTTGAGCAAAGAAATGGCCCTGAGGAAAAATGTTGCTGCTCTTAATGGTGGCAGAAGAGTGCTTTAGGTGTTTGGGCCTACCCAGCTCCAGTGCCTTGGATACCTGGCAGGAAAGTTTTTTCACCGCTATCTCTGTATTGTCCTAAAGGTGAGCAGGTCTTCCCTGAGGTTCAGACTCTGCACTGACAGACGCACTTCACCTGACAAAGGGAAAAATATTACATTTTTTTAAAAATGAAATAAGTTAGCAGCATTTCCATTTTAACTTTTCATGGCAGATATCTTTTAGAAACACAGGCCTTACTATACATGCATCACTTTGTATGTTTTTCATAGTTGACTGAACAAGACAACCAGCTGTTCATCATGCATAACAACCAAGAAGATTCAGTTAGATTTCAGTGTTATAAGGATCAGAACTACTACCTTCATGTGAACAAGGACTCCGTTGATCTATGCAAGATGGAAGAAACCGATGGTGATACAGGAAAAGACTTCTATTTCAAGGTGGCATATGTGTGATACATAGTTCCCTAGGCCTTGCAATGTCTCAAGTATGTACGAAGCCCCTAAAATGAGCCAACACAAAATAGAAATGAAGGGAGATTGAGATCATGTGGGGATCAAGTTCCTTAGTTTTGTATAAAGTTTTTCAATAGTCTCTGTTTCGAGATTCACTATTTTTGATGTCTGAGAGAGATCAGTTTGTGTTTTAAATATACTGTACCTGAGTGACATATGTAACTTAAAGGGGGGATGGCTAGCAGTGTTTTAGAAAAAAGCAATTTCTTGGTAACTTTTTTTCTTGACTTTATACTTTAAAGGAGGCTGATTTGGGAAGTGGGAAACAACAGCAGAGGCCCCAAGATAGGAAGCGAGAATCACAGAAAAGATAAAATAGAAAACACTTTTAATATTACATTTTGTAATAAGAAAATTTGTTTCTTAAATGTCCCACATCAATTCACCTGAAAAACATGGAGAGAAATAATTATTCAGCAGCCACTACATGTACGTGAATATGTGTGCACTATGTACTTACTTTACTGAGGCTTTGCTGCAGTAGCCATTCTGCTCCCACCCTGGAAATCTGAAAAAAAGAGCCTAAGGACAGAGGGCTAGTAGTTAAAGGCTAACAGCAAAGCTATTCCACCTTCTTTACCACCCCTCAAGTAAATCCATTTGCATCTCCAGGCTGCTCCAGCCCTAATTCTTCATCTTTCCACCCCCCACCAAAAAAACCAACAGCATGGCCTGAGAATCCCACTGCATTAGCGGGAAGAAGGCAGATTGGACATCATGGAAGGATGTGCTCCCTGTGAACTTTGGTCTGGTCAACTCCTAACTCTGAATCCTAGAGGGAAATACAATAGAGAAGGAAATCTTTAGCTCAGGTACAGAACAAAGTACAAAACAGTACAAACAAAAATTGAAATAAGTGTCTGAATAAATGAATTCAAAGAATAAACTCACGCTTCTTACCTTGGGCTTGCAGCAGCCCTTGTGCAGGACAGAGCCATCTGAAATAGGCAAAGGAACAAACCAAAAATATGAAGTGGTTGATCTAGACATCAAGGCTCTGATTCTCCATTTCCCAGCACCTTACTTCATTATTTACCCATGTAAAGTGGGTGTAAAACACTACCATTTGATTTCATAACCTATTAAACTCATTTTGCTCTGGTGTAAATGACTACACAACAGTGAACCAGGCCTTAAATATCAGACATTACACAACTACTCCAGGGTACTATACCTGGAACTGCAGGTTTGGTGCAACAATGCACAGGTCCCACAACATTTGCAGAGAGTGTTCTGTGTGGATATAGAACACTGTGCACCTGAAACAGGAAACCTAATGTGGACACTCAATTGTACTAGGCTAAGTTGCAACCAAGCAATTCTCTAGTAGGCTTCAAAGTTGTGTGAGACCATGCAAGAAGAGAAACAGAACTTAATTTTCACACATCGCCATGCGTAATGCTACTGCTGAGCTAACACCTGTTATACTCTTTAAATAGTAAGAATGTGTGCAAAGTTGTGAAGAAACCTAACAACTTTTGCTGCTCAATAAACAAGAGATTCTGACATAACCCCTTCATTTTGACTAAAAATTCTTATGGATCCAGGTGTCTGATCAGACACCATTTAAATCAGTAAAAGACAGCCATTGACTTCAATGTGCATTGCACTGGATCTTAATGATTTGAAATCTCCATTGGATGAAACACAGACTTGAGTGACTTTAACTGATAAATAGAACTATCTGTTATGTTGCTCACCCATTAATTAAACTAAATGTCATTACACAACAGTATCTCATAATACATTTATTTTGAGAAAGAGGGCAGGAGAACAAAGACCCTAATTCAGTTTGAATATTTGAAAAGTGCTTCCAAGTGCAGGTATTTTGGATTCATTCTGTGCTTCTGGAGCAGGGGTAGGCAACCTTTTTGGCCAGAGGGCCACATCGTGGTTGCAAAACTGTATGGAGGGCCAGGTAGGGAAGGCTGTGCCTCCCCACACAGCCTGGCCCCTGCCCTCTATCCACCCCCTCGACTTCCCACCCCCTGACTGCCTGCCTCAGAACCTCCAGCCTATCCAGCTCCCCCTGCTCCTTGTCCCCTGACTGCCCCCTCCTGTCCTTAACTGCCCCACCCCAGGACCCCAACCCCCCTCCCCCCCCCCAAGTCCCTTTCAGAATGCAGCCCTGCGAACATGGGCAGAGGACTCAGGAGGAGCAGGGGCAACTGCGCAGCCGGAGAGAAGCGGCGGTTTCTCCTTCAAAGCACTGCTTCTCTCTGGCCGGCTGCGTGGCCGGCCGCTGCTCCTCTAGAGTCCTCCACCTGCGTTTGCAGCACTCCCATCACCCACACCTCCCGCCTGCTCTCCTAAGGCTGTAGGTGAGCCTCCATCCCTGCTCTCCCCTTCCCTCACAGAGCAGCCCCCCCCCCCCTCCCGTGGGGAGTGCACCAGTGCTGATCTGCCCGAGTGCCTGGCCCTGGGGCCCCCTGTTGTTGGAGGACCTGTGTCAGGGCACCTGTGTTTACAGGTAAATCCGCCCCTGAGTCGTGCTGCCTGGCCGGAGCCAGCCACACCGCCACACTGCCCGGCAGGAGCTCGTAGCCCCGCCACCCAGAGCGCTGACGGCACGGTGAGCTGAGGCTGCCAGGGAGGGCTGGGGGCTAACCTCCCTAGCTGGGAGCTCAAGGGCCGGGTAGGATGGTCCTGGGTGCTGAATGTGTCCCCTGGGCCGTAGTTTGCCCACCTCTGCTCTAGACCCTGTTGTGCCACTGATTAAGATTAGCAATATGATGGTCCTATTCATGTACAAAACACTCTCTCTAGTGGCTAAATTCCTGGAACTGTTCCTTCACTGGTTTTAGGATGAAGCTGATAGTGAGTCAAAGTCCCTGGAAAGATTCTTCCTGACTTTTCTGTGGCCTTTGGACTGGGCCTGTAGTAAAAGTGTGAATTGTGGTGCCACATGTACAGTATGTAGTTATTTTGCACTTGGCCTGTTTACATGCACAGCTTCATTTTTTCACTCTCTCCTATTTCAAATTAGGGCTGTCAAACAATTAAAAAAATTAAACAATAGAATACCATTTATTTTAAATATTTTTGGTTGTTTACTACATTTTCAAATATGTTAATTTCAGTTACAACACAGTGTACAGTGCTCAGTTTATATTTATTTTTATTACAAATATTTGCACTGTAAAAAAAATATTTTTCAATTCACCTCATACAAATATCATGAAAGTTGAACTTACAAATGTAGAATTCAGAGTAACAGCCGTGTTAGTCTGTATTTGCAAAAAGAAAAGGAGTACTTGTGGCACCTTAGAGACTAACCAATTTATTTGAGCATGAGCTTTCGTGAGCTACAGCTCACTTCATCGGATGCATACTGTGGAAAGTGTAGAAGATATTTTTATACACACAAAGCATGAAAAACTGAATGCATCGGATGAAGTGAGCTGTAGCTCACGAAAGCTTATGCTCAAATAAATTGGTTAGTCTCTAAGGTGCCACAAGTACTCCTGTTCTTTTTGTTTGTCTTAGCGATTGACAGAATAAGAAGTAGGACTGAGTGGACTTGTAGTTTTTGTAGAAGTAGGACTGAGTGGTCTTTATAGTTTTACACTTTTGTTTTTGAGTGCAGTTATGTAACCAAAAAAATCTGCATTTGTAGGTTACACTTTCACAATAAAGAGATTGCACTTCAGTACTTGTATGAGGTAAACTGAAAAATACTATTTCTTTTATCATTTTTACAGTGCATATATTTGTAATAAAAAATAATAAAGTGAGCACTGTGCATTTTGTATTGTAATTGAAGTCAATATTGAAAATGTAGAAAAACATCCAAAGTATTTTTAAAAATTTCAATTGGTATTCTATTGTTATAAGTGTAATTAATTGCAATTAATTTTTTGAATTAATCGCATAAATTAACTGTGATTAATTGACAGCCCTACTTCAAATATTTAACAAAGGCCTTTTTTAAAATCACATTTTATGTTTAAGGAAATAAACAAGTATAAAGCACAGCATTGATAGTTCCTGTAAGGATTTAGATAGATAGTGGTTTTGGACATTGTAATTTCACTTATAACCTTCCAGAAAACACAGAGCAAATGGTAAATTCATTAACATAATCTGTAAACAGAATTCATAGTAAAATAGGTGAATTGCTGAAATCTGATCTAATTTATGTATGTAAAAAATGTGAACCAACACTTTCAAAAGTGCCCAGTGATTCTGAGGGCCCAACTTGATTTACTTAGGGTCTGATTTTTCAGATGTGTTGAGGCAGAGCACATGTGAAAATCAGGTAGCTCAAGTTAGGCAACCAGAATTAATGGGAACTTTTGAAAATTTAAGCCCTAACATTTAGCAGTATGAAAAATATATATTTTATGCATTCAGTAGTAAATAGAGATGTAAAATTTCATATAATTCTGAAAATATTATTGCTAGACCTGTAAGAATGTGATATACAATATTTTACTTTGCATGTACTATTACAAACAGATATTTGGTATAAAGTTTGTCATCTAAATATAGGTTTTTAATAAACTGGGCACCTTTCATAAGTGTATTGGAACTTCATTTTAAACGCAGGGCCATCCTTAGGATTTATGGGACCCTACACAGTATTATTAAACTGGTGCCCCTATGCCCGACGGCAGCCCAGGTTCACAGCCCCGCAGGGGGAGGGACGAGGCAGCAAAGGATTCCGAGCCGCCCGGCCCACCTCACAGCGGCGGAGAGTCACAGTTCCCTGTAGAGACCCCCGTATCCTCTCCCTCATGCAGAATGTGCAGTGCTGACACATTCGGCTCTGTGAATACGGCCCCTGCCTAAGGAAACTGCAGTGCGCACTGGGTGGGCGGGAGCCGACCTGTTCTTACCTGCTGTCATGGGCAGTGGGTGAAGCTGCCGCTTTGGAGAGGCTAGCTCCCCAGCCCACCTGTGGCCCTGCCCATACTCCACCCCTGCTCTGCCCCAGGCCCTGCCCCCACTCTGCCCAGATCCCACCCTCTCTTCATTGTCTCCCTCCTCCTCACCGATCACCCACTTCCAGTCAAATTCCTGAACCCAAATGAAGCAAATGACATTTGAAAAAAAACACTCTTCTGCAATTTCTTTCTAAAGAAAATGGAGCATGTTTTCCACTGCATGCCAGAAGGTGAAGACTGGACATGCAGAACGTACCTAATTAAAAGCACTAAATTTGGGAATAAAAAATGTCAGTCACAGGTTTTTTGATATACCCTGAAGTTTGTCAGAAATTTATTTGCAAAAACTTTGTACTTAGGGCAAGTCAGCTGTCCTGCTGAATACAACATTAAATATTATGGAATACATGATGCAACTCTTCTGTTTTACATTTTCTCAATTGGTATTTCTAAGCTGATTTTGTATTTTAAATACTCTCTTAAGCCTTCATAAAGTAATCATTCCAGATTACTACATATTTAACTCACTGAAACAACATTATTTTAAATTAATGAGTCACAGAGGTTTAGTGTATTCATAACAATGTTCATTACTTTTAGAAAAAGGGAACACTAATTTACTCTGTGTGATCTCCATAAAAAGACATGTTTATGAAATTTCACCAACTTTAAAAAATGTTTCCAAAGATTTTTAGACAAAGGATTTTATATCTTACTAAGGTACTGATTTTGCTAGACGGTTCTCTTAAAACCAGTTAATCAAATAATCAGAAGTAAAGAAAGGGAAACTCATTTGTCCAGCTATCTGGTAGGAAAGGGGTGTTGTCCCTTTAAGGGCTCTTTTCAAGGATTTTTGAGAAATGTGATTTTATCATCTTCAGCAACACACTAATGAAATATTTTTAAAGCAAGTTTTAAACTAAGGTCCTGTAGACTAACATGTTCTCAGTAAATATTAGAGTAATGCACAACTGTTTTTGTCAGTAAATTCAGAAACTGACAGTATATACCTGGGGGTTGGCAAATGCCTGTTAAATGGCTTCATTACCATTTGAAGGGCTCTTTAACAGTTTCAGTGTTGTGCTAATAGGTCTGGCAGGCTGGAAGGCTTTTACATTTTTAAGATACTAGATCCCCTCCGGAGTAAGAGTCACCTGGCTGCAACAGCTAGCTGTGGGAGCCTGCAGGAAGGGTCAGAACAGGGATAGGAAGAGGTGGCAGGGTGGATATTAAGACCCAGGGGTGCCCCACATTTTCGGATGCGCTATGCAGCCGCGTATGCTGTGTATGCCTAAGGATGGCCCTGTTTAAATGTCATGTAAGCAAAGACATGAAGTTTTTAATTTTATGTAAGATGCTGTCAGGTATTCTGACAAAACTAGTAATTGACTTGTTATTCTTGTTAGAGGTAATTAGTCATTATGATCTTTACAGTACACTTGTAACTAAAGCATGCTGGAACAAAGAAAAAAATAAGAAGTGAATTGGAAAAGATGTTCTAAAGCCAAATCATCATTTACCATCAAAGCTTTAATTCTTACTTTGATAATTACTTTGACAAAAGCAAAATAACTATGCTACTGAGAAAAAGTCTCTTCCCAGTAACAGGCAGCAACTTTTGGAGAGATCCAGATTTTTTCATTCATGGAGAGGAATGATGTAAACCCACTCCATTATATTGACAGGTTTCAGAATAACAGCCATGTTAGTCTGTATTCGCAAAAAGAAAAGGAGTACTTGTGACACCTTAGAGACTAACCAATTTATTTGAGCATAAGCTTTCGTGAGCTACAGCTCACTTCCTCCGATGAAGTGAGCTGAAGCTCACGAAAGCTTATGCTCAAATAAATTGGTTAGTCTCTAAGGTGCCACAAATACTCCTTTTCTTTTTCCATTGTATCGATTCACTGTAAAAAGATCACAGCAATGTGGTAGAGAATCACTACATTCAAGCCTCTGTTTAACTGGAAAGGATTAATGTGATCTAGTGTTTAGAGCAGGAGCCTGGCAGTCAGGTCTGCTAGATTCTGTCCCTTAGTCTGCCACTGATTTCATGCACAAGTTTCTTCACCATTTTCTGCTTCAATTTCAAAGTAGGGATTCTCAAATATTGTTGGCAAGTTATATACAAACTTAATTGAGGCCCCCATTCAGCAAAACTCTTAAAGCATATGTTTGACTCCACTGGGACAAGTTTAAGCAAGTGCTTAAGTTTTTTGTGGAATAGAGACATACATCTGAGTGTTTCTGGAATAACATTAAGAACCAGATATGTTTTTAAAGGTATACAGTGTATACCATTCAAGTTTTACTTTCAGATTTATTATGCTTAAACATTGAGAGGCAATGAGAAGACTGAGACACTGTTTTAAACCTATTTTCATTTGGATGAAAGTTTTGGTTTAAAGGGAAAATGCTAGTGATTTCAAAAAGCCCATAATCATGCAAACTCATACAAAAATAAAGCTTTTCTCTCCCTATTAACATACTATATGACAAAGAATGGTACAACATATTTATTCCATGAAGGCTACAATCATAGGCGCCGACTACTAATGGCGCCGATGGGTGCTCAACCCCACCTCTGCCCCCAGCCCAGCTTCGCCCCGACTCCACCCCTGCCCTGCCCCCTCCCACCCCCATTCCAATCCCTTCCCCAGAGTCCCTGCCCCAACTCTGCCCCCTCCCTGCCCCTATTCCGACTCCTTCCCCAAATCCCCACCCCAGCTCTGCCTCTTCCCCACCTCCTCCTGTTATACCAATAAAATAAAAACCAGCAGGATCTTATTAAAGGGGAAAAGGCAAAATACCACATTTATTGTGAATACAGAAAGAATCATAGTAAGCAGTTAGTTATAGCTATAACATTCTATTCAATCTCATATTTATTCACACATTCATTCATACACACAAACAGGTTCTGTAAGGTTGTTATCATAGTTACCAGCCTTAGAGTTACTCATGCCAAGCCACTGCCCAGGTGACCTGGACATGAGGAGGGAACAGGGCCTTGTCAGATGCTCATCTGATGTTCCTGGAAGTTGGTTTGCAGAATCAGACCCCAAAGTTCTCACTTTCTAGAATCCATTTTTATAGGAATTTCTTCCTATGCCAGTCTATGGGAATTGCTTCATCATGCTGTTCCTGAATCAATCAGCAGATGGCACATTCCTGACAGCTCCGGTCTGCCAGATGTTATCTTGTTCTTTGGTTCTCCCATTCTTGAGGCTGTTGGGTGGATTCCATTCTGCCCTCCAGGGATCCTCTGGTTATTTCCACTTGACGCCTTCTTCAGCCGATGGACACTGGATTCTTAGGCTGGCACCTCCCTGATCATTCAGTTATTATCCACACCAAGCATCCATCCACATACATCCTCTATCTCTATTTTAATCACAATTGTTAACAAAGCGAGATGAATACAACAAAAGGGCGGGGAGTCTCTGGGTGCTGTTTCCGTTGTTACAGAGTATTGCTTTGAGACTCTCTCTGTGTGAGTAGTTGTTGTTACAAAGAATTGCTTTGAGAACAGACTCTGTCTTAGAATGTACTAACACAATTAGCAGCTTGCAAATTTCACACATATAGAGAGAGAAACAGTACCAAAAACCAAGAGACCTCTTAATTAGTAATACCCTGGAATTTAAATTATGGGGAATCAAACTCATTTGTGATTTTGATACAGAACTTCTTTAATATGATCCAACACTCCCCTGACTGTGCCACATCCCCGCTCCTTCACTCTCCCTCCTGGAGCTTACTACAGCTGTTTGGCAGCGGCAAGCGCTGGGAGGGAGGGAGGGAGGAGCAGGGACATGGTGCGCTCAGGGGAGGAGGCAGAGGCGGTGGAGGAGGAGGTAAGACAGGGGGACGGGGCGGGGAGCTTGGCTGCTGGTGGGTGCAGAACACCCACTAATTTTTCCCTGTGGGTGCTCCAGCCCTGGAACACCCATGGAGTAGGCACCTATGGCTGCAATCTTCCCTATACAGATGGAAAAGTGCTTATCTTACATTCCTTTTTATAGGAAAAAGTATTCTATGCTGAGTATTGCTTTTGGTTAAGCTTCAACATCTATTCAAATATAGTTTTGTTTGTTTTATCAGGACAGGTAGACCAGGATTTGTACAGGATGAAAGATAGTGTGCACTCCCAATTCTCTGAGAATATGTACCTGATGGATATTGTTCCCATATTCTGTCCTCCAAGACTAGGCGGGAGGAGGTTTCCACTCTAGCTAGCACCTCTATTCATTTTGACTCCCAAGCCACAGTCAAGAGTAACTAATAGGCATGTTAAGTAACCATCTTACAGTGTAGTCCTGAGGGTTGTAATGCTTCTTGCTGTATTTTGAGATACTTCATACAAAAAGAATTCTGATGTATTACAAACACTTAATATGAATAATATAAATATTAATTACCAAAAACACACAACTCAGACATAAAATATACCTGAATAGCTGCTTCCTTAGTGCCATATAGGAAAAGGTAATAGCTTCCAGCATAACCGGCAAAATTCTTTGAAAAAATATGAGTCTTTCCCTCAGATCCACCCAATCATGCTAGAGAAACACCTACAAGCTTTACTTTTTTTCAAATCATACAAAACTACTACAGTCTAGAATACATAAATG